TGCTATTTAACCCATAGCTGGGGAGAGGAGAGGGATTCATACCTTTCTCAAAAGTATTTGTATGTAAGTGAATATAACAAACCTGACTGGAATTTGAACTCTCATCTCCAATTTCTCATTCCAAGATGCCATTCATTACACCACCCTCATATCCCTTCCTTATCTTCCTTACCTTTCCTCATTTAGCAAGGAATTGATTATATCACTTTGTATTGTTTTTTATTCATTGCCAATATGTTGTGTTATAGAATCTTGAATTACGGATTTGAATCAGCTTCATTTACAAACAAAAGAAATGTTCTGATCAGACCAACTCATTCACAGTAAAGTGTGCAACACATACAATTCCAGATTTTATGAGTGGGGTTGCCTTCCATTTTATTGTGTTGTTACTATCCAATTTACACTTTTCAATTTCATGCTATTAATTACAATGTTCTACTTGATAAATACACAGGTCGTTTTTACAACTTGAATAATAAATGTAATCGACTTCTTGAATGTCATGAGGTGCACGAGGGGATGAAATTTCACAACTTGATCTATTGAAACTTAAAAAAGAATGTGCCAAGTGTCTTGAACTGAGTTGGGGGTGAATTAGTATTAAGTAGAGAACTTTTCAGCACCCCTTTTCATAGTAACACTTAAATAAAACATGTTATTCAAATATATGCATAATTATACAGAGTTTTATTTTAAAATAAAAATAATTTCTTTTTCAGCAACTTAAGGATACAGGAATTTTTTTCAGCTTCTTAAGAAGTTGTAAATGAAGAGTATGATCTCAAAGCTACACATCCAAGAAAGAGTGTTTTAAAAAAGTTACACTCCAATACGAAGTTGCATTCGTTATGAAGGCCACTTATTTTTATATGAAGAAAGTATTTGTTGTAGGAATATTATAAGTCATATACAAAGCTCAAATATAATTATCTGTTTTCGTAGCAAATAAATACCACAGATAATAGTTTTAATAGGCACTTTTTTTTTTGTCAGATTTGAGAAAGTATTTTAAAATGAAATAAACATTTTGCTTAAATTTCTCCGCGTTTATTTTTGTTTACAATTCCTGCATCATCACTACCACAAAAAAAAAAAAAAAAAAAAAAAAATTGTATTTTACTCGAGTTATTTTGTCAAATAACCCTGCACTTGGTGGTGCCACAATGACCCTCATGGTTTACAGGATGAATTCATGTGTGTAGTGTACATTTAGAACACACACCTGTGGGTGGATTTAGATTATTGTTGGTACCTCCACAAGTTCACTGAGAAAAGAACATACTGTGATGAAAAAATACCCCAAACTTGATAAAAACTAAGTTTTATGGTCAAAATTTTTGTTATTATTAACAAGAAAGAACCAAAAAAGTTTTTGATAATTTAATTATATTTTTTAATCCTTTTTAAACTGTTCAAAATTTTGGTTAATGGACTATAATTAGCAGAGCAAATTTTAATGTCTTTTTTTGTGGTGAAAGACACATTGATTTGGAAATTCTTGCAATAATCAAATAATTGTCAGATTTTAATGAAACTTTATTCACAAATGAATTAAATTATTTTTGAAAAGTTTGGTAAAATAATTTTTTTTTTATTGACATGTATTACACTCCACTTAATTTTATGAAAACTCAAGAAATTCAATGAGATAACTATTAGTTAAAAGCAGAACTCTTTGGAGAATTTAAATCATAGATTTTATTTTTGCAAAATCAAACCTCAATCGTAAAATAAAAAATGCAAAAATTACAACATTAATTAGAAAAGCTTTTAATTGCTTTTATGAATAAGATATAAGGACATTGTTGTCCTAAAGAAAACATTTTTTTGATGAATAATGAATTTTTACAAGATTTGTTTTTATTTTTTAAATTTGAATTAAAATAATTTAGAAAGTTTTAAATCTTTTACAATTCAGTTTCAATGGTGTAAAGGTTAGTGAATATTGTTATTAAGTTTAACTATATTTTCTAACTATGAATCGTAAAGCTTATTAGAATTTATGGATCCAGCGTATTTTAAAAAGAATTTTGAACTGGTTTTGTATGTGAATAAATGTGCCAATTTTTGTAGATATCGTTGTTCATACACAAGATTATCAGAAGATAAAAGTGATAACTATAGTAAATTTAAGGCCAAAGTATCTAAAATTCAATAAAACATTAAATTACCAATAATATTTTCATAAATTGCTAAGATTATTGAGTACTTCAAATATATATATAAAAGGCACTCACATTATATTTTTAAATTATTTTTAATGGGTAACCCCTCACCCCATAGAACATTAGATAAACATCAAGCTGTCAACACATCAACAGATTAAACAAACATTACTAATGTGTTAAAAATGCATTTCTGCAATATTTTAAACTTAAATATTTGTTTCAATACATTTTAATTATACTTTAAATCAACTAATATCCCTCAAATAATGTTTCAAAAAAGTAGAATTTATTTTTGGAAGAATTTTAATAAAGAGAATTGCATTCTGATGACTGCAAGTGGCAGTAAAATAAAAAATTTCAGCACTTTCAAAATGAAAACTCCTTCCAATCAATTTAAATTAGTTTGAAATATAGCAAATTATTTTACTTAATGGAAATATTAAATTTACCATAATTTCTCCAAAATAATACACATTTTTTTTACTGTAAATTACAGGTGATAGTAGGGGTGCGTATTATAAATAGGTTTAAACAAAAATATTTTTTCATTATTGATTTATAATAATAAATAGATACTTGTTCTAAAATAACAAAGATATTATCCCAATTTTCATTTTAAATCCAACAATAATAATTGTAATATTTTTTGTCAATAAATTTGTTTATCAGTAACCGCATTTTTTATTTGGCGAAAAAAAATCAATAAAAAAGCCAATTTTGAAGAAAATAAGATATCAAGTTAACAATTTCTTGTAATTTTAATTTTCATCATCATCATCACCACTTTCTATTATAGAATCAATATCTAAATTTTCATCATCATCACCACTTTCTATTATAGAATCAATATCTAAATTTTCATCATCATCATCATCACCACCACTTTCTATTATAGAATCAATATCTAAATTGTCATTAAACAAATTATCATTCACAATATTATTTTCGTACTGTTCAAAATTATCTTTTGCCTCTTCATTCTCTTGCCTAGTCTATTAATTTTTGTTTAAAATTTGCACTATAACTCACATGTTTTGATGATATTTTGGCAGTAAAATAAAATGTTATATTTAATCAGGAAAACCGCATGGTAATTTTCAACATTATTTTAGCTGCTTAGTTTTGATTTTATTCTTAATGCCAAGTTCGACAAAATGTCTTCATAATTACTTTTCTGGGTTTTTTTTTTGACAAAATTTATAGATGCATATTATACATAAGGATAGATATATTTCTTAATTTTTGGATCATTTGTTGGGGTGCATGTTATTTATGGGTGCATATTATTTTTGAGAAATTACGGTAAATCTATCAGCTTGAAATTAAAACTAAAATAAAAGAAAGATTTTTCATTTTTTTAAATTTATTTTAAACTTAGGGTATCGCAAATCTGTGGAGGTGCCTAATTATTGTGATGTTGGAAAAAGTTTTACTCAACCTTATGAAGAAGAACAAAAATGAAAAAACAACATGAATATCTTAAAGCAATAAATGATTCTAATTTCAGTTTCAGGATTTAATTACAGGAACTAGATTTTGAAATTTAAAAAAATTTATTTCACATTTACATAAAGAGGAATGTTTAGTAGAATTCTCAATGCATTTCAAAGAATAGATGTTTGTTTTTGTTTTGTTTTTTTTTAATATTTAAAAGTTACAGAAATTTTAAAATGTTATACATAATAATAATAATAATATCATTTAAAGGAAATTTACAAACAAACCAACATTTTCATACATAAAGTTTTTTTTCATTTAATGCATCAACTGTAACCCTCCCCCCAATAATTTTATAATAAACAAAATGTGACAACTGAATGTTATCACAGTCAATAAATTTTATGTATATTTCAATTTATCCCCAATTTTGGTGGGTGTTTTTAAAATTTTAAGTTATAAAGGCCTGGTTTTAAAAGCATAAAAATACTAATTTCATACAAATTGTAATAGTTAAATTTCAAATTAAAAATATTCTAGTAAACATTTAATGAATTTATGTGTCTATGACAAAACTTGTTAACCTTCATGTAAAAAAAAAAAAATCAATGAATTTATGTGTCTATGACAAAAACTATTACTTTTGATGTAAAAAAATCAATGAATTAATGTGTCTGACAAAACCTGTTAATTTTGATGTCAAAAATCTATGCATTTGTGATAATGAAAATCTATGACCCAACATTAATTTCATTTTCATCCCTCACTGACAGATTTAAATGAGGTAGAATATGTTCAAGATTTTGCGTATTAAGTACCAAATTTCAGTAAATCTATGATTAACGTTTGGTTATAAATTCTGTTGATAAAATTCAAACGTTGGATAATAATCAATTAAAGAGAGTTTTTTAATAAGGAGGCTTTATAAATAAATAAAATTTATCTTTTTTTTTTTTTTTACTTTTAAATGCAAGCGTACATTCTTGTAGGTTTGTTAGCTGAGTAGGTAAAGATTTTCCAGTTACTGAGAGTATGTAGACTTAAGAATGAATAATTCTTTCACAAGTTGATGAACTTAATGACAGATATCATTCAATGAAGAGATATATATAAATGCAGACACAACATTTCAAAATCAAGTCTTTTTCATACAATTGTGTGTAAGTGAATACCAAAGAAATTCTCTTTGATATGCGTACTTAAAACTGATGGATAAATATGTTAAAAAAAATAAAACATTATCATAGTTTCCCAGCGGAAACAAATTAAATTTCCAGGTGTTGATTGGATCGCTGTGTGCTTAAAACACAGATATACTCCTCTGCAAAATATTTACACATAACTGTCTTCATTTTAGTCAGCAGCCTCCTTTTAATGTAAAATATCCAATTTTCATATCTTGTCATATTTGTAGTGTTCCTTGCGTTCACGGAGCTCTGTCAAGGATTTCACTTTCAGCAATTCAATATCCTCTTCACAGCCATCCAATTCTAAGGACTTGAGGATTACTTCATCAGTAAGGCGCAGAAATGGATTGTACAGCTTCTCTTCACGAAGACTTGAGGGGCACTACAAAAAGAAGAATACAGCTTTAACTCTTGATTTTAGTAAATAAAAAGAATAATCTACAAAGCACAATTTCAAAGAAAAAAACTAAGATTGCATTACATTTGTCTTATTATAAGTAATATGTATAAAATTTTTAAAAAAATGGTACATATAATTCAGTTTATATTATGTACTGCTTAAAGTAAGATTTAAATTTTCAACTAGAATTAATTTACAATTAAGAATTTATTTTCTATAAATACAGTGTAACCTGGATATAAGAGAGTTGTCGGGACCTGAGAAGTCTCTTATATCCGGGTTTGGTCTATATGTAAACATTAACACAGGCTCTAATTTGGGACCAGAGAAAATCTCTCTTATATCCGGGTCTCTTATATCTGGGTTACACTGTACACAAAGAACCTATTTAAAGCTAAAATGTTCACCTGAAACTTTATATGAAATTACATTTTAAACCTTTGGAAATAACTTTACAAAGTAAAATCTTTCATTGAATAGGCTTGCTACTGGTAACTTGTAACCCAGTACAACCTGCCACATGGACAACTGGTTGGCATCTAAACCAGCCACCCCCCCCTAGCTTTACTGATGATGAGAAGGGTTGTATATCACCCGACAGGATGAAAAACAAAACCTGGACAATGAACAGATGTGCTTCTTATAGGAGCCAACAGCCAACATGTGTATGTGTGTGTGTGTGTGTCTGTATAGGACATATACTAATTACACCTACATGTACACACATCTGTGCAGACTGGCACATGGGTATACATGAACACCCACATACACTACTAAAAAAACAAAAAAACTTGCACCCATGATTAGTTTGTTGGGGACATGCAGAATTTCTTAATTATGCTAGAAAGAATCAGAAGGAATTTGTGTTGGTTGCATGATTTTCTGCATCCACAACAAATAAATAAACGAAATTTAAAATACGATTAAGAACAAGACATATTCAATTAGAAATCAATACAACATTTATATACAATTCAAAGCTATATACAAACAGAATAATTGATATATGTGATGTTGGCGAAATGTGTATGAGATTTTTTTGATTTCAGAAGGTCTCTCTTTGTAATTGTTCGTTCATTTACAGTCTTTTTAAGTTTGTGTTGATATTAATAATTGTCGAAATTAAGTGTCTTTTTTAGAAGGAGTTTTTAAGAGTGATCTACCTTTAACTGTAATGTAATGTTTTTCTAAGGTCGTTCGTTCATTCATGTTTACTTAATAGGTAGCAAATATGATTCACTTTAGATAAGCAATGTTGAGAACTGATATCCACAGAGTTGATTAAGTTTCGATCAGAAATGAGTCAGCGATGATGTATTTTTGCACAGTAAAATCGTGATTTTGAGTGACATGGAGTATTTTGGCAAGTTCTCTGTGGGTGTTTGTTACTGACTGCCTGGGGCGGTCATCGTTTATTTTTATAAGGTCTGAAATTCCGAAGGTGGCTCACTTGAGTTTTGGCGCAATTTCATTCTGCACGTGAACTTTCAGTGATGAACTAATGAGATTGTTTGTTTCGCTTAGTGCAGTTTTAATTGGTTGAAGTTTTCTGTGTGTAGGCGTAAGATATAGACTGTTCTGTTGCTAGGTTTGAAAGGTAAGGAAAATAGGACGAGTCTACAAGTTCATATAAAAAAAATAAATCAAGAAGTATAAGCAGTCAATTGCTGATACCCCAACAAGTGGATGGATGGATCCATCAACAAAACTCTGGAGTTGGGATGCTGAAGGTAGTATCAATCGACTAAGTGATGAACCTTTTACTTATGATTAATGCAAACAGACTTTGTCACTTAGCTGACAGATGTTATATTCATAAGCTTAACTCAAGAGTTTCATACACTGGCATTTTTGTAATTGTTCAGTCCTCTCTTCAGGTTTTCAGCAATTGATGGCAGTTTTCCTCATATTTGGTTACTTTTATACTGAGTTTGATGTAATTAATTTATGTACTAATGCTAGGATAGGTCCTCAAGTGTTGAATGACAACTTTCTTTGTGATGGTGTCTCGATGAAAACATCATGTATTGGACTACCATGAGTGTCTACGTTGGGCTTCAAGAAGAGCATCTGGCTTTGTAAAAACCTTGTCTCAAATTTATTATGACAAGTCTCGGTATGTTGACAGGCATATTGCAGAGAGGTAAACTGAGACCATGTCATGCAGGATCCACTTTGTTTTGTGTGAGATTAATCCTGATCCTGCCTCAACAAATATATATATATAAACACACACACACACACACACACACACACATATATATATAACACACACACACACACACATATATAAAAAACACACACACATATATATATAAAAAACACGCACACACACATATATATATAAAAAAACAACACACATATATATATAAAAAACACATATATATATATAAAAACACACACATATATATATATATATAAAAACACACACACATATATATAAAAACACATATATATATATATATATATATATAAAAAAAACACACACACATATATAAAAAACACACACACACACATATATATATAAAAACACACATATATATATAAAAACATATATATATATATATATATAAAAAACACACACATATATATATATATAAAACACACACACACATATATATATAAAAACAAACACACATATATATATAAAACACACACACACACATATATAAAAACATATATATATATATATATATATATATAAAGCAGTGTGTGTGCAGACACACACATATATATATATATATATATATATATATATATATATATATATATATATATAAAAACAAAACACACACAAAAATATATATATAATCTCATTAATACTTGATTTGAATTAAAAAAAATAAAAAATTTAAAACTCACAGTAGGGAGCATTTTCCTTCGTTGTTTCATGGCCCAAAGATGCTTTTGCTGAAGAAGTGGAAGAAAAAATATATTAAATATTCGAATGCAGGAAATATTATAATCAATTCTATTTGGCATGAACAGTTTCTATCTAAATTTCTAAGATGAGGAATTATAATTATTATATATCATTATTATATAATAATCTAGTTCAGATTTCCAAACCTGGGGCAATATCGCCCACTGGTGGGCGATTCCAACTGCTGGGTGAGTGATAAGCAACTGAATAAATATAAATCTAAGCATAGTGTTGAAATATACCTAATTCCTAAATATATCTAAATACATATATTCTAAATATATCTAATTCTATATTCTTTTTAATTTTACAATTATGAATAAATATTGTTTAATTTTTAGTCAACACTTGCAATGCTAACGCTATCCATAAAACTAAATTTATATATATATATATATATATATATATATATATATATATTAGTTTTCAATGATCAAGTTTGCTTTCATTTGTTCTTTATACATGTCAGCATTATTTGTTACCTCCCTTTGGTATTTTTTACTACATCATAAAGTCAGTTTATGAACCAATAACAAACAATTTTGGTAAGGATTTGAATATTTGCTATACAGATGAGTGGTGAAAAAATTTTTCATATGAAATTGGGTGATGACGCAAAAAACAGTTGAGAACCTCGATCTAGTTAGATAAGTGTCTTTATCTTGATCATAAAATTTCAGCCATTATACACCCGGCCTTCTTCAGGCATCTGTTGCATTTGGTAATCTGGGAATTTTTAAATGCACATTTTTATTTGACCCGCACAAATAGATTGCTTTCATTTTACTGTACTTTGTTTTTTTTTCTACTGAGCCAGAGTATATGATATTTTACTGTTTGACCCAGCAATTGAACTCACAATCACCAGGTAACTAAATACAATAATCAACATTTTTGCTTTTGTACTCTCCAGTTTTATTCAGCAGTATGTTGTGTTCAGTAATGTACTTTGAACAGAACCTTTTAACCAAAAGGTGTTAGGAGATTGTTTTCATTTTGCTATCCATGCAAAGAGATATTCTATTTTTGTTCACGTTATTTAACCAACACTTTTCAGTTTCATTCAATCACAATAATATCTCCACTACCGTTATGGTGGAACACACCTATTCTATAGTTATTAGACTCTCCCACCTGTAATAAGTAGGAGTAGTAAGAGTAACGTGGGGGTCAGTCAGTCAGTAAGTTGATGTCGGATGACAGTCAAATACGAAAATATCAGCGACCACCACAATATTTCTCTGTGTAATGCCTATTATATCAAGTTCCTAACGTTTTGTACGTTGAACCTATTTTAGGACCGACTTAGTACAAATACAAGCCTCCACTGCGAAATCGCTCCACAACAACTACAACAGAGAGCTATATGAGAAAATATCTGAGTTCAGAAACATCGCTGCTATAAGCTGATGACTCCCACAAACTTAGTAACCATTACAAGTTTTTAAAGAAACATTGTCACTAGCTATCTTGCTCATGGTAGAATGTTAATAGTCCACTGAAGAATGGATTTTTCTCTCCTTTTCTGAGCTACGTTACACACATTGTTATGCATAATCAAGAGTGGTCTCCCCTTGTTTTGTTACTCACCTCTTTGAGAGAGTTATTTCTGTTTACTGGGACTATAAAAGGACACTATATGCAAACCATGTATTCTCAGTTGAATAAAGCTTTCTTAAAGCCTACACCTGTGTACTTTTGTCATTACACATATGTATATAAATATATATAAAATCCATGTACGTGTTGAATTTGTTTATTCTGACATTGTTGAAAATTTCTACTGAATGTCACTAGAGAATATTTATATTCATTTTTATAGAGGAGGACTTGTACCAGGTAAAAGGAATCTATTTTAAACTTTAATTACAACAAAAACACCTTGGCAAAAATCAACACCTTAGTAGGGAACAATAGGGATAGGAAAATCCTCTTGCCCTGAAATTCTACCTGGTCTTGAAAACCAAAAACTAAAAAACTGGTTTTTGTTCGGGCTTACTCAATAACCTCTAGCAGTAGTGTGAAATATACACCTACCTAAACCACAAGTTACCCAGTGAGTCAAACTCATTATACTAATAAACAAACTTAAGAGACAAGTATACTAACTATCACATTACATTAAGCAACTGAAGGTATTAGTGGACGTACTACTAGTAGTAATAGAATAATAATTATAGTATTTATACCAGTTTGAAATTTTACTTAAAACTTTTATAATTGATTTATTGTATATTGGATACTCTTCTTATTTTTAGTAAATATTTGGAGGAAGGGGCTAAAAATAAGATAGGTTTAACAGAAATACAGAAAAAAAAATATAGAAAGTTAAAGAAACATATCACAACCACAACTGAAAAGAATTTATCTAAGTTTAACATAAAATTTGCTACAAATACTTCTAAAGCAATCAAAGACTTGATACAAAACAAAATAATAATAAGCTAAAACTTGAAGGAGGAATTTATCACCTGTAATAATTGCCACAAGGAATGCATAGGAGAAACCTCAAGGAATTTAAATAAAAGATTATATGAATACAAAAGGGATCTTTTACAAAACAACACATTAAATGCATTAGTTGCTCACCATAATGAATCTAACCATAACTTTGATTTAAAAAAATATTACTTTAATTAAAAGAGAAAGCAACTTACAAGCATATAGAAAGTACTTTAATTGCAAGATAATCTACAGTAAATTTATGTCCAGCCCCTTTCTTGGCAGATCTTCTATTATCACAATGTGGGGATATTTAATAACAAAACTAATAAAAACAAACAAAAAGAAAATGAAACTAAATGAAAGCAGCTAAAGTATATACCCTAAACACATATTTAAAAAAAAAAATAAATAAATAATTCAAATTTAAAATTTCAGCATTCCCCCTCCTTCATGCGTATATGCATAGGCATCACTTTAGTCCACATAGGTACTGGAAAACAGGATGCATCACACAAAATTTTTTTCCACTTTGTTATAGATTTTTCTAAAATAGTTCTTGATATATAAAAGAATTATATATTATTTTCCCATAGAAACGCATCAATATTTCTTAGATGAAATATTGTCAGTTATTTCTAATGCTTGTTTATACCTAGTAGTAGTAGACATAATAGTCTTAAGTGGTCTGTATTTCTTATAAGATGCATTTTCATTAATATTAACTTATTCTTACTAGATGCATTTTCATTATTATTAACTTTTTATTATTTGTTGATGCATGTATCATACAATTTTGATGTCTACAGAATACTAGACTGCAAACCAAATACTATAATACTTTTATAATAAAAATAGCAATCACTGTCACTTGTACTGTATATATAAAATACTATTAAGATCATCTAGTTACTAAGTTGAAATACCAATAAGGTCATGTAGTTGCTAACAACAAAACTTAAAATTATCTCATTTGTTTTCTAAATAAAAAAAAAAAACTTCAAGTAGAAGCATGCACTTGTGATAAGATTAGATTCTGTTTGGAAATGCAGCATATTCAAATTATGTCTTTGTAAAAAAAACATCTTGACAATATGAACCCCTGGTTAAATTAGTCAAGTATCAACGGTTCACTTAAAATGTATTTGTATACAATAGTTCTTGAGTAAATTTCCAGCTAGCAACATTGTTACTCCACAAAGATTAGACGCCTACTGCACCTCATACACACACTTCCAGTTTTATCTACTTGCTTGCTAGTTTTTTTTCCAAGCCTAAAGACAGTGTCAAATTGGCCGTTTCTGCCATAAATGCACGCTACTGTTGGAATTTTTACTTCACTCTCAGTTCTCTTAATTAGATAAACTTGAAAGAATGTATTCAATCTAGAAGGGTTGCCATACAGAAATATGTTCATCAGGTAATGTAAAGTTGGCCAGAATAGAAAAATGCACCAGTTGCCTCACCACTGAGTCATAATTAGTAAACTAGTCTAGTATATACTACTACTTTCCTACCATCTCTTTCAATCATATCACAATTAAGTCATCATAACCATTTTAACAGTAACCTCCTATCTTGACTGGCTCTCGAGCCTTTTATTGGGTGAACTTTAGGATCAAAAAAAAAATTACTACTGCTGCAGTAATATAAAATTTTTTTTATTTTTCATTATTTAGTCTTTTGTAGTAAATAAATGTTTAATCATCTAGGTTGATTTTTTGTGGGTTTTTTTTTGTGCCAGACTGGCTGTAAAGATAAACTGTTACAGTTGTGAAAATTTATTTTAAAATTAGCAGTTAAAGAATTGCCAAAATTATTTGTGAATTGTTGTGGATTCATTTTTTCAAATTTATGGAGAAATAAATTCTCAGATTTGCTGGTCAATGAGAGACATGCTCTTGTGAAAACCTAGATATGGCCGGTGTGACACTTCTTTGTTCAATAAAAAGGACTGCTATTAGCAGATGACTTCAGAAAGCAATTAATTGTCAAGAAGAGAAGCATGTGTTCTTTTTTCCCCTTTCTATTCCAACTAACAAGGTTTCTGTGTTTAGCTCAAGAACTTAGATTTGGTGAGTACTTAAAATTTTTCTATTTTGCACAAAAGATGAATGTGGTCTTTGTGTAAGATTTTAAATTTTTATAGTAAGTTCACTTTTTACATGTGTGGCTTTGTACTGGAGTGAAGTGTATTAAATAGCTTGGGTATCTCATCATTAAAAACAAATGACATAAAAATATTATTAGCAATAGAAATGAGATCATTTTCTAAATAATTCCATCAGAAAATTGACTCAAATTGGTATGTTATACAAATCAAAATTAGCAGCTCACCACAAATAAACATGATACAAAAATATTGATAGCAATAGTTGCAAAGTAATTGTGAGTTCAATTATTGAGCCATAATAGTTTAGAGTCAGATTCCCTGAAAACAGAGCAAGCAATAGTTTAGCAGTACTAAAAAAAAGAACTAGACAAATCATCACTAGACACAAACAGCAGAACTAAAACAATCTACCAACTGATTCAGTTTTAGGCTTACCAAAATTGACAGACACCTGAAGGACAAAAACTATGAAATTAATTACAAAGTTGAGGATATTAGTTCAACTGTAAATAATGTAAATTATGATAATTCAACATAGAAAATCAAATTTTTATCAATATAGTATCAAGAGGAACAACATTCTAACCTTATTAATATTTATAAAAATATTGCTTTATGAGTGAAGCCAAAAATCATACAGATATTTTTATTTGCATATGTACAAACCAAACAGCATTGACCATAGACAGAGTATAATTCAAGTACAGAAAGTATTTGTTCATCTTTTTCTGTGATGTTAATTTTTTGTATTTAAAAATAATTATTAATATTAAAAGACATTAGAAGTTAAAAATATAAAAGAATATCAATTCATGGAAAATATCTTACACGTGTAATTTCATTTTCTGGGTCCAAGTATACAGAGAATTCCAGGTTTTGAACTGCATATTCATGACCTGTAAAAAGAAAATAAATATTCAACATACATACATATATATATATATATATATATATATATATATATATATACTATACACACGCACACACAAATTTCAGATAGAGTATATCTGTAAAAGGACAGTGAATAAACACAAAAGGAAAACTTATCTTAGCCAACACATTTTGTCCTCTGAGGAACTTTAACAAGACAAATGCAAAGATTTTATTTTGTGACAAGTATTTATATACAAGGGCAAAAATGTTATTTTTAGATTCTGAAAACAATAAGTTTTCCTTTTATATATATATATATATATATATATTCCTTCAGATTTTAAAATTTGATATATGCTTCAAAATATTTAAAATACAGAAATCAATATTATTGATAAGTTTACAATTTTATTTATCTATTTATGTTTAATTTAACCATCATTAATCCAGCATTATTGGGATCTGTAGTACATCAGGTAAGTGATTTTGCTGGATTTTCTTTTCTTTTCTTTTTTTAAATCCTTTTACACACACCCCTCTCACAAGCAAGGTGATAAAGCCACTAAGACACAAGGAGTTACTGAGTGTGCAAAGAACATCAGAGGGTGGACAATAAAAGAGCAGCAATTAAGGATGACAGTTGATACTGAATTTAAATTTTTGAAGATCAAAGTTGATTGGAAAATTGCAAGAAAGAGAGTTCCATAAGCAAGAAGTGCAAGAGAAGAAACTCTTAGCATAGAACTTACGGTGGCCAATAGCAATTACAAATGTAAAATGATGAGAACTATCTGTCCATCTAGTACTGTGCTTAAATTGGTTAAGTTGTGGTAATAAAGAGGAGAGCTTATCAGAACAATTGCCCTGAAAATATTTATAGAAAAAGCACAGGGAAACTACATTATGGCATATTACTTATGGTTACATTAGAATACATTTAACACTTAAGCCACTTAAGCCTACCTTAAAAATACTCAGTAAATGTGTTGGTTAATAAAGGAGAAAGTAAAATTAAATGAAAATAAATTGAAATTTTAATTAAACCTTATGAGAGATCTGTGCTGTAAATTAGGAAATCTGAAGATGATCTTATGGAAATTAGTAATGGATTGTTAATTGAACCGAATTACTAATTGCTGGATTGGTGATGCCCAACCTGTATTTATTTGTTTAGAGTAAAAAAAAGAAAAATATGTAGTGCCAAGTTTCCATTAATGTTAGCCAGCCTAAAAAAAAAAAAATCAACATTTAATACTCTGGCCTTTATCTGAATATCAGCACTAACTTCTAACCCCTTTATGTGCCATTTCTCCCTTGAAGGCTTATAGTCACTTCACGTTGATCAGCGAAGTTAAGCAATGTCAAGCCTGATCAGTACCTAGATGGGTGACTGTTTGGGAATGCCAGTTGCTGTAAGCTTAGATGCGTGAGTAGAGTAATGCATAATGGCTTAGAATTGTTAATCGGAGAGCCGAGTTTCAATTCCAGTAGGGTTTGTTATATTCACTTATACGCAAATACCCTTTGAGAAGGTAGGAATCCACCTCTTCTTCCCCCCAGCTATGGATTAATTAGTAAAACATATATCACTAAATCATTATTACCCCTCCAGACAAAAAAAAAGATTTTATAATCCCAAAATATTTTCTGGCTTTAAATAACCTGCAAAGGGTTTGATAAGCCACAGAAAATAGAATGAATCAATCAAACCCTTGGTGAACACGGTTCTCCACAGTTTCTTTTCTTCCTGTGGTTTCAGTAATAATTGTTTCTTTACAATTCCACTTTTGTCTTTGTGGTATTTATCTTTCTAGGCATTTGATTAAATGTGTTAAGTGGGTTTCCCACAGACTTTCTTATGCTTCTTTCTCCTTCAAAATACTATGGAGTGATGGATGCATTCTCTGCTGAAAAGCTTCTCACACAGTAATTATTTGTGTGTATGTATATATATATATATATATATATATATATATATATATATATGAAGAAAAATATACAGAAAAAACAAACAAAAATTCTAATATGCAATTATACTGTTTTAATGTTAATATAATGTCAACATCGGACGATTCAGTCTAGTAGACCATCTTCAGGGCATATTCATAAAACATAATTAACATTAGACTATATTCAATTCAACATGAAAAGACGATGGACATAAGAGTACGACTGATCAAAACAGATAACTGAAATTTTTCAAGATCAGCGTTCCGTTTCACAATATGATCACGTCGGCATCACATGGGCGATGTTGTGAAAACGTATTCCTAAAATAGAGTATGAATGAAAAATGAAAAGAATTTCATTTTAATCTAAAACTTATATGTACGTTTGTCGAGCATTAATCTTGCTAGAAAAGGGGAAATATTAAAGAAGCTGGGTCTAGTATTCACCGGGCATGTGATAGATATTATGCCTGCCTCATAAATCCGTCTAAGATTTTTATTATGAATATATTTTAAAATCTTCACAAAATCAAAATTATGATCAGATTTAGCTGTGTGTACAACTAAAGCATTGTTTAAATTACTGAGGTGAATATCTCGTTTATGTTCGAAAACACGAGATTTTACGGACCTACATGTTTCACTCACATATTTTAAGTCACAGTTGTTGCATGAGATTTGGTAGATGCATCGGATGTAATATGTTGGTTGCTGGTGTTATTTAATAAACTACGGATAGTTCTAGTAGGTAATATTGTAGTTTTAATATTTAGCGCATTCGATTTTGATTCTGTGAAGAGAATTTAGAAACGCTATTGTATATTCATATAGTCAACTGAAAAATTACATCAATTACTTTATGTTTGAAGAGAATATTTTCACATGTAGAAGTATTGTTTGTATTCTCGTGTTGATGGATTCAACCGTTTTCTTTTGATTTCTTGATATATTTGTTGTGTACGTTGACTTGGGAAAGTAGTGATTCTGTTAGGAAAGGTGATATTGGGAAAAAAAATCTCAGTAGCATTCTTGCTTGTCTATTTCTAGAAAGTACCCTATTCAAAAATAATCTACCTCCAAACTCTTCCTATTTCAGATACATAGATGATTCACTATTAATATATCCAAAAAAATACTAATTTAAGAGATCTTGTCAACCAACTTAATGTTGAATCTACAATAGGCTTCACCTTTGAAACTGAAACCAACTACACTCTTCCCTTCCTAGATATCTTGTTACACAGAAACAATAATGAACTCAATTTTGACATTTATAGAAAAGCTACCAACAAAAATGACCTGATCAATTACTACTCAAACCACTTTTCTAAAATTAAATTTGAATTATTATAGTTTTTTTTTTAGAGCATTAATAATCTGCAGCCCCTAATATTTACCGAAAGAAGAAACATACATAGAAAACACATTCAAAAAACCTTCAATACCCACATCATTTTATCCACAACACAAGGAGAAAAGCATACAAAATACAACCACAACAAAAATAACATCATCTGCAATAATAAATTATATGAGAACAGATAATACTACCAACCAACTCCATCACATCCACTATCCAGAACATGCTATCCCATCTAAATAATCTCAAAATAATCACAAACACTTCCAAAACCATTATGGATATAATCAGATCCTCAAACACCCATAGCAATAATATTTCTGAAGCGGGCATATATAAAATAAATTGCCAAAACTGTTCTTCACAATACATTGGAGAAACATGCAGAAATTTAAAAAAGCACATCTATGAGCACAAAAGAGACTTTATAAATAACAATTTAACAAATGCACTAGTCATACATAGAAATAAATTCAACCACAATTTTGATTTTATAAATACTACAGTCATAAAAAAGAAAATAACTCATTCAACAGGAAAATCCTCAAGTGCCATCATTGAATATTATCCAAATATTAATTTACGCCCAGGTTTTTTCCCAATATCATCTTTCCTAACAGAATCACTACTCTCCCAAGCCAACGTACACAAAAAATATATCAAGAAATCAAAAGAAACTGTTCACAAATGCAAACATCAAAGATTTGCCCTATGTTCAAAATTCCTCAAAAGAAGTCCTCTTGAAGACAGTCCTTTGTCAGATCTCATAGAATGGCACTATTGATTCAGAACTTTACCAAATAATAGAAACCACATTAGTTGAAGACTTCCAACAGCAGCAATAAATAAAATAGATAGCACATATAACTAGATGGGAAAATAATATAATCAAGATGTTAACTTTCCACATACTTTGAATAAAAGTTTAAAGCAATAACTGGACTTGAAAAGCCTATTTTCCTGAAAACTGTTTTAATAGAAAGGTTTTATATATTTCAACTGACAGTGATGCTGTTTCATCAATGAATGGCTAATCTCCCCATTATCATCAACATTTGGTTGGATGAAACATTTCTTTTTTTTTTACTTTTGCTTTCTAAACTTATAATAACTTTAGCTTATTTTAGTGAAGTAAGTATAAGATTTATTTATTTTATTTCTTTTAGACTTGCTATTCTATTTTATACTTATTGGAAAAAAAAAAACATTATTGTGTGAAATCAACTAAAAACAATTTAGGAATCATGGTCTTGTTACTTGGGAGTTTATTTAACATTTTTCATTTAAAGTTCATTTAAATTCTTCTCTATGAATTTTTTTTATTTATAAAAGCAAATAAACTAATGATAAACTTGATTTTTTTTTTTGTTGTTTTTTTCTTTAGATAATCTGTACTTTTGTTTCTAACAGGTAAAAAAGTATGTTGAATTTTCACCACTGTTCTTATACCATAACCTAACTTTTCACACCACAAAATCTAGACAAGGCATTATGCATTAGTGGAAAAATGCATTAGTGGAAAAATGCATAATTTCACTGGCTTTAAAGAAATAATTTATTAATCTGATTTTTTCTAGTTTTTCTTCTTACAAAAGTTACAAAGACTCTTTCAAGAAAGTTAATTTAAATAATGTTTTGTTTAATTCTTATCAGACTTTTCTTTAAAAGCCTTTTTCCTTGATTCTGTATTTACACTGGAAAATTTATTTAAAAAATAGCATTATTTGTCAGATAAATTTGATTAAATATTTTCTCGATGATATAGTTATTCATAACAAAAATATACTAATAATAAAATTTTTATGAGTAATTTGTGCTTTTCTTTCTAGTAAGAGTATGGTAAATTTTTATCACAGTTCTTATACCATAATGTAACTTTTTACACCACAAAATTTTAAAAAATTAAAATCTAATGATGGCAGTTATGTTCTGAGTGAAAATGCATAATTTTATTTGATTTAAAAAATAATCTAGTAATTTTCCTAGTTATTCTTCTTACAAATGTTTCAAACAATATAAACAAAGATCAATTTAATGTTTTGTTATATTTCATTTTTAACAGACATTTTTTATAGACTTCTTTCTTCAATTTGTTTTAATCAAATTCACCCCAAGCAAGGCAGTAAAGCCACTGTGACACAAGGTATGAAAGAATTAGAAACCAGAAAACATTTTGAAGGAGTGGAAAACTATAGAAAGATAATAAGAAAGAGAGTATATAGCAATTGCATTTAAATTTTTGAAGATCAAAGTTGTCTGGAAAGCATTGAGCCAGAAGAGAGTTCCACAAGCAAGAAGTGTGAGAAAAGAAACTGTTAGCATAGAACTTATAGTTACATCAAACCAATTCAATTGTAAATTGATCAGACCTTGTTGCCAATCTAGTACTGTGCTTAAATTTATAAAGTCTAAGTACCATAGCTGAGAGTCCATCTGAACAATTACCATGGAAGTATTTATAGAAAAGGCACAGGGAAGCAACTGGTGCCAAGACATCAGGTCAGAACCAATAATATTGCTGATTCTCCTTTGGATATTACCAAGAATCTCTGAATAAATAGCAGGAGCATGGAACCAAATGTGGCTGTGATATTTTAAGCATGGGTTAATGGTAGACTCATAAATATGTAAGATAGATTCTGAAGAGAAAAATTGTCACGCATGGCACAGTGAACCAACCTTTTTAAACTGCAAAATTTATTTAAAAATGCCATTCTTTGTTACTTAAAGTTAATTTAATATTTTTCTGTGATATTGTTATAACAAATATATTGATGATAAAATTTAATCTTTTATGAGGAATTTTTGGTGTTTTTCCAAAAAGTTATTTTAAAAAGTATTTTGAATTTTAGTTATTTACTAAAAACATAAAATAGAAACAAATGTATATTTTTTTTTTGCTACAAAATTACTAAAATAGTCATTTATTTAGAATGTTATGTAATAGCCAATAAAGTTGCCTACAAAATACTAAAGGCTAAAAGGCAGTGTCAACATACAATAAAAGCCTTGCCCAAGCTTCCCACTGACCAGCCAATGATTACCTCACATTGCGTTCCAATTTTTGACCTAGTCAGTGTGCACCAAAAACTGGGGAAAGGCATACTGCATACTCACAAGGCAACATGATTAAATACAAACGCCACATCGGGAAATAAGAACATGTATTCAGTTATAGGTAGGTTTTTTTTTTTTATTTGGGGTTCTGCCTGCTCGTCCAAGTGGATAGGTAGGTGATACTTGGGACAGCTTCTGCCATGTCCATTCTTCTCCCTACCATCTCCTCGGCCATCTACTCATTCCGACATGGTGGTTGGCAATACAAAAGGAACATCAAAGGAACCACATGATAGACACATCCATCACCTGCCAAGGGCAGACCAGAATTCTCCCTGATCCCAAAGATGACTTAATATAGACCAACACCTGGATATACCTTATTTCTGGTTTTGTTGCCACTTGATCTCCAAAAATCCTTCAACCACACCTTTACTTCCACGGTACTTTTCAGTCAAAGTGGATGCCACTTAGAAGACCAAACTTCAAAAGGAAACATCTGTTGGTCTATAAAAATGAAACACTTGAGATAGAAATAAAACCACCTCTTCTCTTTCTATGTGGTTGTCCATAGTATCACAATAGTACAAAGAGGTAATAATTGTCATTGCAATAGTTTACATCTTGCAGAGAACTTTGGCTAAGCATAGTATAAACTTACATTTCCTTTTTTTCTAATGTTGTTATCTCTTACTAAGAATACAGTAAATGATTTACATAGCCTTCCAATATCTTTCTGCAAAAAATTATTAAAAAAAAAAAATAACAAATCAGTTTCTTACCTGGCCACACAAGAGTATCATCAGGTAATCGATGAAGTGCTTCTAATGAATTAAGCATTACACTGGGAGAACATTCAAATATTCGACCTAGAAAAATACACATGAAATGAAATATTTGTAAATCATCAACAAGTTCAAAATTTATACATGTACACAGTGTTATTATATACAAGTGATTGAAAATTTACAGTCATATACACACAAACAAGTTCTTCTATATGGTTGATTGAATTCCCTTATGAGATATCCACACATATCAGTAGTAATATGTATATCATTTCAGTGTTTTTTCCAGAAGAAAATTGGCTTTTTATCAATGGTCTCACCTGGTGGCCAACTTGTGTAGTAGAATCAGGATTAGAAAAAGGGGATTTAAATTTGGATGAGAATCTGGCAGAATGGTAAACTCCTATTTCGACAGGTTCAGTTGATCAAAACAGCATCATCAGAAAAATGGGTTTTAGCAAAATCTGTACTAGCGGGATAGAATGTGATTGGCATTAATCATATGAATGTTGGATTTTTTTTCTTTTTGACAGAAAGTCAGGGGACATATCCAGAGATTTAAAAACTGTCAGAAAAAAGGTAGCTGAAATTAGATGTTTATAGAAAATATTCAACCTTTTTTGTATAAGCTACTTTCTAAAGAGTATAGCATGAACTTAAAATATTTGACAAAATTGTAAACGGAAAATAAATGCATGCAAAAGATTGAACATACAGCGCATATAAATACGAATGTAAATCAATAAATCCATAAACTGACGCACAATTATTACTGAAGTTGTGATCTGAAATTTTCACTGTATAACGTTTAATCTATATGACTAATATTCTTTTGCAACTAAGATGTACTGAAAAGAAAGAAGATTATGTTGAAAAATATTTGTCATGCAAACTAATCATCATTATGGAATGGACTTATTGTTGTATTCATGCATATGTGTTTCTATTTATTTTTCTAATTGCTTCTTAAATTGAATATGGAGTAGAAGAAAACAGACATTGGAGAAAAAATAAATAAATTTAGCAAGATAAAGTTAATCAACAAAACTTGATTTTGGAAAGGACTTAATCTCAAATAACAAAATACATAAACACATACAGTTGGCAGTTTTCTGGTTGCTGCTTCCAACTGGTAATAAGGAGCCCAGACTCTTTGCTTAGCACTTAGAGAGGCTGCTCTGATCAACAGTCACATAATATCAAGGTATTTATAGTGCTATGTCATGCATAGTTAGGCGACTCTGTATGTATTTCTGAAGGGAAACCCTGAGACCACATCATGCTTTAGCCTTAGGCACCTTCTGGCCAGTTTGTATTGCCAGTGACGACAGTAATACTTATTTCGGCCTTTTTCTTCTTAAATCAAATCTTATATGTCAATGAAAAGAAATATGTGTAAACATACACAGCTGTGTTTTTTTTTGGTTTTTTTTGCGCAGGACCAGGATTAATCTCACACAAAGCAAGGTGGGTCCTGCCTAACAGAGGATTTGTTATAATGATTTAAGGCAAGATTTTACAAGGACAGATGCACTTCCTGACACCCAATTCAGACACCCATGGTAATCAAAGATATATCAAAAAATATTTGAAATATCTTTTTTTAATATTTCAAATAAAATATTTCAACATTTTTTGGATATTTCAAATAACAAAATATTTCAACATTTTTCCTATTCATTTTTTCTTGTGATTACAATTTCTAGGATTTTTTTTAATTTTTCACTCAATACAATGCACAAGAGCCACTCAGGGTGGAGGGCTAATGAATATTGTACAGGCATATAGGGAGGGATCAATTTTTGTATATTATGATGATATGCAAGATATATAATTGTTGACTCTCAACTTGAAGCAGTTAAAATTGTAGTGACCAGGGAAGCTTCTTCTCAAAAGAGTTTTCCCCATTGCATCAGTTCTGGAGAAGATGTATCCCCCAAATTCATTAACGTTAACTTTAAGAAAGAAGTCTGGAATCAAAAATGCACCCCCAAAAAGTGGATTTTTATCACACATTAATGTACTATGGAAACAAAAAGGTTGCCATCAAGACCTACACACATGCAAAAGTGCATATATATATATATATATATATATATGTATATTAGTTAAACCTAGAAAGCCAGACAAACCTACCAAGGTTTCACCTAAACGAATCGTCAGGGAAGAGCTGGCCATCCCTGACAATCCGTTTAGGTGAAACCTTGGTAGGTTTGTCTGGCTCACTAGGTTTAACTAGGTCTGTTCTACTCATTGTATTGAGCACTTTATTTAGTTATTTTGGGTACTCGCATCAGGGTTTTTTTCTTTGGGCCTTGAACTCGTATGCCGGACAATTATTTTCGGTTAACGCACATGTTCTTGGTTCCTTCTTTTTTTATACCTTTTTTTTTTCCCTTTGGTATTGGATTGTTTGTTTGCAAATCGACACACGAAGGTTTTCCAAGCTAGTATAGTTTCTTATACTATTAATAATATATATATATATATATATATATATATATATATATATATATATATATATATAACACACACACAAATACTGGTATATAATCATTTGCTAATGATATTTTTTAAAAATTAAATATCAATTCATTTACTCTTTAAAAGGAAATAAAAAAAATGAAACTCACCACAACCTGATAAAAATAGATGATCTCCAGAAAAGAGTGAATCGGGAGCTCCAAATGGACTGCCCTCAAGCAGGTAGGTCAAGTGGCCAACTGTATGACCAGGTGTAAATATTACTTTGAAGCAGAGGGGGCCAATCTCTAAACAATCACCATCCTTCAAGGTGCTGTAACATAAATTAATACATTATTAACTTCTCTGTATCTCAAATAGAACTGAAGCCATGACATAATTCCAATCTCTACAAAACCTGCAATTCCATTCGCAGCAAGATGTTAGAACTGAGTGTTGAATTGAATTTACTTATTCATAAGTATTTTTCGACCTTTCATAATATTATTTCAGAAGAAAGTTCATATGTATTTAGAAAAAAAAAAAAGAAAAAAATTTGTACATATTGCATGTTAATAATAACATGCAAATAACTCATGATATCAAATGCTCTAGTTCCAACGACAGCTTGCCTTGAATATGTTATCTTCTAGATTTACCCTGACCAACCAATTCTTGACAAAATACAAGCTTTGTTATTGTTTTTATCTCACATGTTATCTAGAAGTACCGAAAATAAAATGTGACATGGTTCAATGTGACCTGCAGTGATATATTTGCAGTTTCTTTCATCTTTATCTTAAATTTCTGAAATACAATAAAGAATGAAGGCTTGAAGAATTTAACACCCACAGGGCACATCAGAAGCAAGAGAAGCAGAGGCAGGCAGGGAGTAACCAACTTGGTAAGTTAGAATGAATGAATGTAGGAACAAATACCACAAAAAGAAAAACTGTCATAAAGGAAAAAGTTTGGATGAGAGCGAAAAGACAGGAAGCTGTGGAGGCTAATGTTTGACCACATTCTGAATGGAAAGTGTTTTATTCATGTATCTTCTGATATGCAGGACACAAATGCTATTTTTTATTCAAATATATTAAACAAAAAAGAAATCTATACTTTTATTGTATTTTATTGGTTTGAATATGAAATTTTTATATGAATTTAAATCATCACTTTTATCAGTTTTGATATGTATTTTTATATAATAAAGTAAATAAGTTTACAAAACTTAAGTAAAAAGGAAATCTATCTTACAGTTTTTTTGTCCATGCACTGAATATTGCAACCACATTTGGTCTGGTGCTTCTGCTATTTATTTAGAGATTCTTAGCAAAATCCAAATAAGAATCAGCAATTTTACCTGTCCTGACCTAAGATCTCAGCTTCAGTCATTTTTCCACCATCATAGCTTTCCTTTGCTTCGTCTATAAACATTTTCATGGTAATAGTTTTGATGAGCTTTCCTCTTTGGTACCTTGACTTTATGAATTTAAGCATACTACTAGATTGGCTGCTAAGTTTCTTCATTTTACAATTGAATTGGCTAAATGTAACCATAAGTTCTATGCTAACAGTTTTTTTCTCTTGTACTTCTCACTTGTGGGACTCAATTATGGTAGAAATACTTTTAAGGAAGCTTAGATAATTACAATCCAAATGTATATCAAATAGAGTTGACAATAGAAAATCTGGGTAACAAAAAATAATTAAAGATATCAGAGGATTTCTGTCTATATTTCTAAGATTAGGTATTATGTACATTATTTGGACTATTGTCCCCATATTTATTACAACATTTCGGCCATTGTACGCTCCGGCCTTCTTCCGGTGGTTGGAATGTCTCATTGTGGAACTAGAACAGTCTACCCCAGTGAGCGAAAATAAAGGGTTCAGTTCGACATTCAAACCACCTGAAGAAGGCCTGAGCATACAGCAGCCAAAACATTGTAATAAATATGGTGACAAAGATGGGGACATTAGTCCGAATAATGTAAATAATATCAGAGGATTTTTTTAATAAAAACACAACCAGATAATCCAGAAAATTAGTCAATGAATTCTCCTTAAAAAAAAAAAAAAAAATTAAACAGGCAAAATATTTTTTTAAATAAAAAGTGAAAGAGAAACCAAGTAAAAATAAAGTCTTTTTCTTACTTTGTAACATCAGGGACTCTATCAAGATTACCGCCATATATTTTAATATCAGGATACATTCTTTTCATTTGGCCATTCCCACCACTGTGATCCCTGGAAAAGAAAGAAAATGTATTTTTAACCAGATTTCATAATAAAGAGCCTAAAAAAAAAAAAAAAAAAAAAAGTCAAAATCTATCTCCATTAACCCTTTAACCTTCAACAAACCCAAACCTGACCTGTAAATATCAGCCCTCAAAGTCTCACTGTTTGCATGACTTCCCATGTTATTTGCAATGACGTTGTCATATATTATTGGCATTTAGAAGAATATCTGAAAATGGTCAACTCTTGGACATAAAAGAAAACAGGAAACTACTTAAAAATATTTCTAATGTAGAATGATATTTTTTTTTTTTTTGCAAGTCTCAATTGTCAAAAAAAAAAATAAAAAAATAAAAAAAAATAAACAAACATTATTGTCATTGCCTCTGGCTAATGACCTTCCCTGTAAATATACAAGGATGGGCAATCCATTTAATTGTTTTAAAAGAATGAGTTGAATGTTATATCTTAAAAATGAAGAAATAATCTTACAAGCTGAAAGTATAGTATTCTTTCTTTTCTTAATTTATTTGAATTTTTAAAAGTTTCCTGATAGCCAACCATAAAACATCTACAGATAAATCTTGAAATATCTTCACATGGTTTCAAGTTCTTTTTCCATCCTAATTGCATTGTATTTTATCAAATGTGAGCATAGAAAGGTGATTCAGAGATAACAGTAATGTTTAACCTTGTACCCAGAAAAAAAATAAAGAACAGTGTGTCAAAAGGACAGTTATTCCCTTGACACCACTATTATGTTTTTGACTCACCCAGCAATGTTTATTATTTTAAAAAACAATGATTCAAATTTTAATAAAGCCCAGACATACTAAAGTGGATTTATACATTTTCTTTATTCTTAAGAATTGACAAAGATATTAAACACTATTTATTAGATTGCTTATTTAATCTTTCAGCAGATTTTCTAGGTAATTTTTCAAAAAAAATATAATAATTCAAAACTTTTTCAAAATTATGTTTTTCAATGTTTATGTGGCTGGTTCTCGACTGGTGAAAACCAAAAATTTTTGGTTGTCACCAGTTGAGATGCAGCCACATGAAAATAAAAATGCATCTTTCTAGTGAAAAAGTTGTTTTTGTCCATATACACACACACACACATATATATAAAATTCTCAGAGTTAACGTGTAGAAAAGACAATATTTATAAATATAAATGGCAATAGGAAAACTGTAACAGTTGCTCACGTGTTTTGTCTAATGCGGACCTTCTCAAAGCAAAAAACGAAATGAATTTAATTAAACAAAGTAACCAATAATAACAAGAGCAGTAATTTTGTTAAGAAAGGTGAAATATTAATCTATGCCCAGGCTTTTTCCCTATTTCACCTTTCTTAACAAAATTACTGCTCTCCCAAACAAACATACACAACAATATCGTAAAATCAAAAGAAAATGGTTGAATCCGCCAACACAGTTATAATGATAATATTCTCCACACGTGACAGTAACTGAGATTATTTTCATTTAACAATATGAAAATAGTGTTCTCTACATTCTTCCAGCTGCTAAGAACATTCTGTTTCTTGTTATTATTAGTTACTTTAATTAAATTCATTTCGTTTTTGCTTTGAGAAAGTCCACATTGAATGAAACACGTCAGCAACTACTACAATTTTCCTATTGTCATTTATATTTATATATATATAATAAAAATAATGCAAGGTGAGTTTCAGTGGTAATAAAACAGTGCTCAATGTAAAATAACAGAGCTAAAAAAATTAAAGTCATAATAAACATACATTTTGTTCCCCAAATGAAACTCAGTTGTACCAAACAGGGAAGTATAAAATTTATATTAATAATATACATATATTAGTATTTATTCAAAAATTATAATATAGACATGTTATAACATCACTACAAAAATAGTGATTTTTTTTTCAACACTTCTGGTGTCTTATCAAGTGGTGGTGTTGACTGATATACATATATATATATATATATATATATATATATATATATATATATATATATATATACGTGTGTGTGTGTGTGTGCGTACCTGCAAAGAAACATGATTCCTAAGTTTTAAAATCCATTTTTAAAAATGAAAAATCTATCTTGAAGCTTTTATTTTAGTTTTAATTTCAAGCTAATAGAAAAATATTTCCAACAAGCAAAATATTTTGCTGTATTTCAAAAATAATTTAAATTGACTAGAAGGATTGTTTTTGTTTTTTTTTATATAAATCACTAAAAAAAGAAAAAAAAAAAGCACTGATTTTATCTATTTTAACCATCTTTCAGCACAATGTAAGCCTCTTTAATTTATTTGATTTGAAACAAATATTACTTAGATTTAATTTTAAATATTGTAGAAATTTTATAACACAGATGTTTTTGTTAGGTGTTGACAGCTCTGTTAACAGATTAACAGCCAGAAATTTAACTAATTTTTTCTACAGAAACATATCTGTAAAAATTGGATATAATGTAAGCACATTGTTTATATATATTTTTTATATAATTTTTTAACTACCAAGTAATTTTTAAAATATTTCCCATAATCATATATATATATATATATATATATATATGGTCCAATGATTACTTGAGGCATGGAACTGACAGTCACCATGCAGTGTTGATTTCTATGTCCTCTATATCTAACTCACACACACTCACATACAAAGAAATGTTATTTGAGCTTGTTTCCCAAAAGTAAGCCTGGGAAAAACAAAATGCATCCAGTGTATTAAGGAACTTAAATGTGATAATTGCTCTTTCCTGATGCAACTTGCCAGTTCAATGTAACATAGGACAAACTCTTTAATACAACTAAATTAGTTCATTTCATACAAATGTCACCAGATCTGACATTTGCTGCCTGTGAATGTTGAGTCTAAAATACTTCCACTTTCAATTAGTTAATGGAATAATGTTGAATACAGCAAACTGGACATGCTAACTTTTTAGAAATCATTGTACCAGACAAAGGAAAGAAGAAAAAAACAAGTTATGCTGACTGATAGGTATTCTTAGTAGGAAACAAATCTGATGTAAAAGTAAATTAGAAATGTTAATTTACAGTAGTTTTTAGTCAAGCATGAACTTCTAACACAACTAATTGCATTAAAATATGAAAATAAAATATATAAGCAAAAATAAAAAGAATTTCAATTAAAATAAGGTATTAGCACTTTCCTTTAAAGCCTTATCTCTCTCTCTATCCTTTTCTTTCTATACTTCTCTCTCAACTAACAAGAAGGTAACCCTCAAATAAAAAAAGGAAAAAGAAAAGATTGAACCCGGGAAGTTTGCAAGACCAGAGCCTACTTATTTATGACTATTAATTTACAAGAAATGAGACAGGCTCCATACATAATTTCTGCTATATAAAAAAATAAAAAGAAAGGAACATCAGAAAATAAAAAAAAAATTTTGGCCAATCAAAAAAATTAACACAAAGGGACTTTTGATGTTAACCAAAACGAAGGTTCACCCCAAAGTCTGAGAGCCTAGTCAAAAGAATAGAAGCTGACAGCTTTGGACTAGACGAGGAGAAGGGATGGCAAGGGAAACCATTGAACAAGAGACGTGACTGCCAGAGAAACCAGCCATGTGTGACATGTGAATAAGTTAAGAGGTCTACTGCTAATATTTTTGGCTCTTCTTAGGGCCAAGAAAAACACAACAGATTGACTTATTTATAAAATGACTACTACTAGCAAAGTCTGACTTTGAAACTACCCACTACCAAGCAGAAACAGACTTTCTCCAGACTCCTACTAATATCCACCTTATAAACGAACATTTTGCTACACTGGATATCAAAGAACTCACTCTAAATCAAATAAATAAAAACATTTATTTTATATCTTGAGTCCTCTTCATTTTATTTCCGAAGTTCCGATAAAAAACCATCAAGAACCCTCTGGTACACAACATACCACAATGCCTTGAAACAAGTGTAAAGTTACTACTAAGAATGATTTTACTTATTTTAGAGTATATCTGGTTTTACTTATTATTATTGTTTATTGTATTTACTTATCTTAGAAGATATCTGGTTTTCTGCTGAGTCTGTAGATTAGCCATCCCTATACATTCACACTATTACAATTAATTCAATACAGATTAGCCACCCACATACATTCACACTATTACAATTAATTCTTACCATATATACTAAAGTACAGTCTGAGTTTTTAAGATCAGTTTTTTTAATGCAAAAACAGGGGTGGGGTTGCACTATACACAGGTAATTTTTTTCTGGAGGGTTTAAAATTCATGCAAAATACCCATGAAGTTGGCTTATATACAAATATATACTAGAGTAACTGAATTTATTATAATTGTCATTGGACAGTTTGAATTGTTGTCAGCTATTTGAAAAGAAAAGTATACAGAATTTTGTCAAGAATTCACATTAAATGATTTTTTATAAGCAACTTAGGATTTTGACCATTGCTAGAGTTACTTATTTGCTGGTTGCACAAGAATTTGTACTAAGTTGCTAAATGGTTGCTTGAATTTTTTATACTTGGATCAAATAAATGGAATAGAAAGACATTTGAATGTAATGAAACTAGTAGAATTGGTAAAAATTCTTGAATGTAATTTAAAATAACACATTTAGTAACTCTTTTTGCTTACTTTTATTTTTATTTTTCTGAGTTAAGTCCCACTGATGTCAAAAATTGCTTAAGATTCAGTCAAATTTGAGTAAAGTTGCTTTGAAGCAAGTTATTTATAAAGACATCATGTAATAGCATTTTTTTCCAGGGGGGTGTTATACTTTAAAATTGGTAAACAAAGAATTTGAAGATAGCAAGTAGAGTTTATATATAATATCCATTAGCTCTGAGTTTTATACAATTTAAGTGGCTTCTGATCATTTCTTGTTTCAATACTGAATAAATCTAATTATTCTTTAACTTAAATTCTATCAAAAGTCACTTCAGTGCACTTATCATATTTTGTTTCTTTTTATCTCCTCATTTTCTCATTTCTTGTCATGTCGATACACATGACTTCATTTT